TAGAAGAATTAAAAAAAGAAAAACAAGAACTGTTTTGGTTATAATGCTCAAACAAAATAAAGAAAAAGTGTCATATATAAGTTATTGATTAAAAACAAATGTTGAACTACATTTTAGTCAATTATCATTAAATTATTTTGTATTTTAAGAAACTGTATTATTTTTTAAGTATTAGCAGGAATCTATATTATAACGACGCTTACAGTTCACCAATATCTTTGTAGGTGGCACTACTAACGTACTGTTCAGGAGATCGTAACTTTTGTTAGTAGCTACTACGGCATGACAAATTTTCAGCAAGATCATACTTCACAGGATCATTTCTGTAGTATATCTTCACATACTCTCTACTCAACTGTAGAGTTATCGCAACCATGATGAGGAGACATAGCTTCGTACTCTGAGCGTGAGGCAGACATGTCGAGAATTTTACAATTCTTAACATTGTCAACGATGATCGTTCACTTATAAACTTTTGTTTGTAAGCCATGGGTATGAGGCAGTCTGAGTGGTTGCGAATCTTTATAAATAGAAAACAAAATTTTCACTTTTAATAACTGTAACTTTTAGCAATCTTACCAGAAAACTTAGTTCTCTGGTGTTAGTATTAAATCTATGATGATGAACTTCGGTTTGTAACTAATTTGTAAGCAATGGGGTGGGTATGAGAATTGAGGATTACGAAATTTTATCGATAGAAAACATAATTTTTAGTTTTATTATACTAATTTTTGTTAGTTTGTATATGTATGATGTAAGATTATTGTAATATATTTTTCACGGTCAGCAACAGTAACGCAAAATATGCACGTATCAGCCAAGGTCTTGTTTGGTTTTTTAATCTAAAATTAATTTATAATATTGGCAGTTATTTATACTTTAGTTCACGGTGACTGTTACTTTCTGTTTCTCATTTAAAACATTTCACTTGTTTTTTGCGCGCCGGAAATCCACGTTGGCTGTGTTTGTTTTATTAGATTGTTGATGTTGTTTAAATTTTTAGATCATGTGTAGTGTAAATGTGGTGGTAGTGTTGTCACACAATCGTTGAAATAACGTGACGTGCAGAGGTATATAAATAAGATTACATTTTTAAGTATTGTTTACTAACTATACTACGTTCCACGTTTAGAAAATAACATTGCGGAGATAGGGCCATGTATTTCTTATGGACGATAGCAACGCGGCGTTGCCACTTCACATACAAGCACAATTTAGGGTTGTATAATTTTTATTTTTGTTTCCACAAACATGAATTAAATTAATGTTTTTTATCGTAATTGACCAAAAGTGCCCATTCGAAACAAGAGATGAAAAGTGGGGAAAATGATTTTAATTAGATAAATAGTATTTACAAAAGATAATTTTATTTTATCTTATTTTAATTATAGTAACGACAGTTTATTTGTTTTCGGTGAGAATACGATATGCCATGAATCATAGAAATCAGTAGAAAATATTGACCGCTTGGAATGCGTATATCTAATTACTAATTGCAACTTAAAATAATACGATGTGCGTATGTCAGCTATTTTATGTCGTTGTCTGACTACATAATGATAATAAGGCTTTTATTTAGTAGTTATTGTGACTTTACAGTTAAATGTTAATTGAAAATGAAAATTCAAAAATTAAGCAAAGGGAATATCTTGGACATCCGTGCAAAAGAGAGTACCCGAGGGTTTTGGCAACACTGATCTCCATAAGCGTAATGTTATTTTCTTAACTTGAAACAAAGAATAGTCTCGTATTACAGACATGTGAAACATTTTTAAAAAATTGCGGATTATTTTGGTAACAATAAAAACATAATTTTGTTTTAATCTAACCATAGTTTTTTACACATAAGTTCAGAGAAGTACCTATAGCCCATTTTTTGTGTAGATATATATTATTTTTACGAATAGCTTCTATAATTTAAATGTATTTAACCTTCCATGGCTGGCGCTTAGAATCTGGACATTGCGGCTGGCGCGCGTAGTATTTGTCCGCATATATTTTTGTCCAACCTTTTCGCTTAAATTTATTCTACTATCTTCGGAAAATCTGGTTACTATGATGTTATATCTTAACTGTACTGTTGTATGGAGTTGAGTCGTGGACTCTCACACCTGTAAGAAAATTGAGGCTTTCGAAATGTGGCTTTATTGTAGAATCTTGAAGATTCCTATACCGACCACGTTACTTTTAACGTTTTATTAAGAATTCAAAAAGGAAAAGAGATGTTAACCACAATAAAAACAGCCAAATTTGAATACCTCGGTCACATGATGAGGAACGGCGAAAGATATTGGTTGCTGCAATTAATTCTACAAGGAAAAGTAGATGGAAAACGAAGACCAGGAAGGCGAAGAATTTCCTGGCTGAAAAATCTACGTACCTGGTTCAACACAACAACCACAAATCTTTTGATCTTCGGAATACCCATTTGAAAATAATAAAATACAGCTTGGGCATTTATTCTGAGTAAATGTAAGATTTCAAATATGTAATATCGGGAATACATTCTGAAAAAAAAATTATTAAAAATCAAAACAACTGATTAGAATATAAAAGTTTTAATGTTTGTTAAGAAAATACATACCGGGTGGTGAATCGTCAATAAACGGGCCATAGGAAACTCAATGAGAAATTTTAAATTGTTGAATTGCTGCTTCCCTAATTATTTTAGATCAAAAGTCATAAAAATTTATTTGTAGAGGACTAAATTCTGAATTAAAAACAAATCTTAAAACCGTTCTACGAATCAAATGTACTTCAAAATTTTGCAAAAATATAATACATTTTTTAGGCCACCCCTAAAAGTTAGGCCACACGTAATGCAAGAATATATATTATGACGTGTGTGTTTTATCCAATGACGTTATATTATACGTCATTGGTTTTATCATATTGATGTCAGTTATTTGACAATTTGAATTGTCAATTTCTTTATTTGATGATTAAATTATAAACAATGAATTTTACTAAATACTAATATATAAATATGTTACATAAATGCCACAAGAAAATTGCTTCAGAACAATATTAAGAAAGTTTTTTTGTTGTATTGTATTGTTGTGTTGTAATTATATTTATTTGTACATTCACAAAATTAACCTAATTACTTATTTCATTAAATTTTAAGTAATTAACAATTGAAGTTTGGAGATTTCTGGTTTTACAAGAAGAAAAAACAATATAGGAATGCAAAAAAACACACATATTCGTTGAAACTAAATTTTTAGTGAAAAAATCTTAAAACAAATATTTATGGAACAAAAATGTTTTAAACAACCAAATCTAATATTTTCTCACAAGCATCAGCTTCTACTTCAATATGTTCAATATCTCCTTCGGTTTCTTCAGAATCAATAATGTTTCCTAGCATATCATTATTCGTGTTTAAAGCGTTATAGTAAGACTCAAGATTTTCTAAGTTTTTCCACTCCGCTCCAAAATGTTTTATAAGGAATTTATTAACGTCCTGAAGTTTTAAGGGGTTTAGTTTAATAACCCCCAATTCAATAATATCAGGATTAATCATCTTGATATCTTTTCCAGCTTTACAATCACTTTTTGGTTTTCCAATATGGCTTCGATAGTGCGGCTCTCCCTGTACCAAATCATTTTATCAATTTTTAGTCTTGGTAAAAAGTTAATAATTGAAAACCTTAAGTACCAAGACGCAGTGCCTTTTAACACCATATAGGCTTCTTCTTTCCAATTAGCAACTTCATAATCTTTTCCCATACGAATTACTTTGTCAAATTGACTGAATACCTCATTCTATTGCTTTGGCCTGGTAATAATAACTTCTATTTTCTAACACTTGTTCAATTCTGCCAAAAATGCGATCGATAGGAAGAAATGAGTGACCTGTGACTGGGTATTTAAGTTCAATAGAATGTAAGTTTTGTGGGGCTTCCAAAAACCATCTAGCGCATGTGGCGACTATAATGCAATTTTTATTTTGACCACCGCATCCATCGGACAATAATCCCAAAGTTTTAATGCCTTCCAAATTTGTTTCATTAAGTCGATGAAATAAAGCGGAACTTACTTCACTGGATCCTTTATGAAACTCATTTTCTCCATGTATACATGAAAGTTTGTTCTTTGATTTGCATATTTTTTGACGATCCTTTTACAAAGTAATGGTTATAAATATACAACTGATATTGAATTAAACAGGATCACTATACACTGTAGAATATAACCAGAGAAACCACGTTAAAAAACGCGACAAATTCATTAACTCTTGTTGGCTTGAAAATGTGTGCATATTATGAAGAACACAGATTGTTCAATTTTTCTAATCGTTATATCTCCGAAAAGAATCTTAGAAGAAAAAATAAATAAACAAATGTTATGGATAATTGCGTGTACTGCAATTTTTATCTAATAAATGTTTATATCATAAAACTTAAGGTTTGGCTGAAGAAGAAAATCGGAACAATCAGATATTTGCGATCTTTGAACTAAAATAACTATTCTTGCAGATACGGGATGAAAATTTATAAAATTTCATTTATAATGATGTCCCAGTACCAATTTTAAGCTCTCTGCGAATTTTTGTAAACTTGAAAGTTTATCTTGACCGGGCTATAAGCGACTTTTTGGGTTGATAAGTGGGGAGCTTGCCAATTATTCGTCATTGTTTGTCTTGACATGCATTTCGGTTTTTGGAAGCAACTACTGGATTATAGTTTGCATATAACATTCAAACCAGAGGACTAGCTTTAAATTAAATACCTACAAATTATAGGATTCCACATTTAGACGTCACAAATTATAGGGTTAACTGCTTCATTCTGTTCTATAATATGATATTACGCTGTTTATTGTGGTTCTCCGTTACAACTTTTGAAAATATAATATTGATTGCAAGTTAGGTTATATATTTTTGATAACGAGACTGTTTATCACTTAAACGAGATATTTTAAGTATTGATTATTATTAAAAATCATTCTCCATAAATAATATATTTTCAACATAGATATTAATGAGATCTTTATGTATAAAACAGTTCGTTTTATATAATTGGAACATTAAAGAGAATGTTCTATATATCTTAGATCGGTTAAAATTATGACGGAATTTTCTAATTATTTTTAATATTTTGCTTGAGCGTTTTAATCCAAGATATTAGCAATGGGAGCATGTGTTGTTGTGTTGAAACGGCTAACAAAATTAAGAAAAGCGACTAGAAGATATCTTAGGTATGTACTTAATATTTTTCTCATTTAAATTGTAAGCCTCTTTTACTCTTTAAAGATAAGAGTATGAGTTAGAACAGTGTTTCCCAAACTTTTTTGTCTCGTAGACCACTTACTGATATTTTTGGTTTGCATAGAGCGATCAAAAATCATTTTTGATAACAATCCTAATACTAGAAGTTAAATAAATTTAACAAAATTCTTGATATTCAAACTTTCATCACTTGTCTAAGCTTACCAGATTTTGAGTTGTGCCACTCTTGCATGCAGTCGACATGAAGTGGCTACTCTAGAAACGGCGAAGAAAATCTACAAAGTAGTACTGGATGATCGTCGACTGAATGTGCGGTAGTTAGCAGATTTTCGCGCACTTCAAAACTACATCGCTAAATGCTAAGATATGAGAAAGCTATGTGCAAAGCTATGGGAGCCACATTCGAACAAAAATGAAGGGTTCTTTAGTGTCGTGAAAATGTTTCAATTGAGTGTTTAGCAAAGTTTCACAGCAATAAAGCACAATTTTTGTGCTGTTTCATAACCATGGATGAAACATGAATCCATCACTTTACACCGGAGACAAAAGAACAATCAAAATAATGGACTCAAAACGGAGAACCGATCCCAAAGAAGGCGAAGAGAGTTTCATCTGCAGGCAAGGTCATAACGCTGGTTGTTTTGGAATGCTCAAGTATTATGTGAACTTATTATAACGTTTGAGTGAAAAGATTAAGCATAAACGGCCGCATTTGGCTAAGCAGAAAGTATTATTTTATTGCATATATTAACATAATGCACAAGCTCATAGATGAGTTATTTAAATGGCCAAAATTCATAAAATACAGTTTGGAGCACTCAATTTGCCTGATCCATCGGCTTATTTTCTGTTCGCAATCTTAAAAAAATAGCTCTGTGGTCAAAGATTTTCCAACCTTGAAGAAGTGATGTCGCAGTTAATGGCAATTTTCAGGAGCAAGGCAGTTCTTATCATAAAAAGGGTATCGAGCGTATTAAATACCGCTGGGAAAAGTGCATAGAGCTGAAAGGAAATGATGTTGCAAAATAAATATATTTTTTCCAATATTGTTGTGTTTTCTTTGTTTGATCAGGTACTTCTGGGATCATCAATGTACCCGTACTCTATGCTGCCCAGGGTCACCGTTGGGTTTTCGCTTGACTAAAACAGCTAAGAGTCTGAGCAAAATATCGCTTCGCTTCATATAAAACATGGTAAAAAAATATAAGTTAAGAATTATTGACAGTATGGGAAACTTGGGCCAGGCGCTTATAGTCCAATTCTGACGTCACTGTCGGTAAACGTTGAATCTTCATTATCGGCCAAGCATGAACCTTAGCTAAGACCGGAACATGGGGAGCTACGGATGATAATAATTATAGATGTACTAGACATTGAAGAAGAAGTTTGATAGATGGAGGACTGCGACAGTCGACGCAAAGAAGAAGATTTAACAATTGACATGACAGACGCTGATTTTCTGGACCGGCAACTTTCTTTTTCTCTTCATTATAGAGTCTGAGGTTATCTGAGGTTGTCTGAGTTCATTAATAGTCTGAGGTTATCCTCTTGACACACTTCAAATTTTGAGTGACAATCAAATCTGTCAATGGCGCGAAATTCAAATAAAAGACTATAGTTTGGCCATCCTGACATGTATAATCGCTCTTGATCAACCTAATATTACAGAATATTAATTACATAACTAAGATAATAAGCATTCATAACTTTCATTAGACATAACATGGATAACATTTTTAGTATTATAGATACATATGAAAATGCTAAAATGTATTATAAGGAAATTTTGTTCGTAATGTTCGTACCTAGACATATAGTACAAGATAATTGATCGTCTCAATACCAGCCTGTTCCCCCAGTGCGACAGGGAAAGCTGACGAAAAGCAGACCCTGCATCTTCGTCTAATGCGCCGGCTTTATCGGCCAGTGACCTTCTCATTGGTCATTTAGGTCACGTGGTCTATAAACCCGGTAAATTAGAAATGGAGAAACGGGCTGATATTGCAACGCACAGTGTATCTTGTATTATATGGTTCGTATTATATAAAATGTCGTAACATTCCTAGGTTAAATGTCAACTTACTACTCCGTCAAAATTGTTGACAAACGTTGTATTCCGAATTGGTAACCTTTTCGAGTATTATTTAAAGTGTTTTCCATAAAAGCTCTTTAAAAATTTCATGAGCAGTGAAAACATTTCCATATATTTTTACTCGATTCTTATTTTCAGTGTTAATAGTATTATGACGGGAAAGAAAAGTATTTACTTTGCATATGGAAGCAATTTGCTGGAAAGGCGAATGCACCGATCCAATCCTAATGCAGTTCGATGTGGAAAAGGTGTATTGAAGGTAAACATTCACATAAATCTTATTTTTCTTAAAATTACATGCGCTTTTCTCTATCTCCTTCTCTCTTTCTTGTTAAGTATCGATTACCAAAGAACCGATTATAAGGGAAAGAAAAAAGTTTCTATAGCCTATAGATACATATTGATATAAATCTAAATAGAAGACAATAACATTTCAGCGATTTTACAACTCAGAACAAAGTCTATGGCAATTTTTATGCCAAATTATATACAAAAACGCAAAATGCTAATAATCCAGACTTTAATAGTATTTTCATCCTCATCAAAAAGAACAAGTTTGAAAAGTTTACCTAACGTTAAAGTTTTTATTGTTTTCTGACATATAGTTTACATAAATAAGATTTAAGTCGTCTTGGTATCTATTTATTTGTGGGCAGAGCTGAATTCTATTCATAAAATCTCCGACTTATTCGTTGGGATCTGTGAACATTGCTGATAGGGTTGTTATAGAGTGGGCATCAACCACTCACATTGCACGCAAGGTCAAGGTTAGTAAAAGGGGAGGTTGCATGGTAACTCATGACATTGACAGAATGAAATACGACGTGTGACGTCACCCAGGGGGTCAATTTTACGAATTGTTTGAAAACAAAATAGGAGAAGTGGTTTTTAAAATATATTTTGTTGTTAAATATCGTTAGTGCTTTAGTTTATGTTAATATCTTGAGATATAATATGTCTATAGATAATATTGAGTGATTTTTAGTATACAACTTGGACCCAATACTCTTATACAAGTGTTAAGATACATTCAACCACATTTAACGTGGTTGTGTCTTACTGGATTTTATTTCTGCTGTATTATATAGTAAAGGTAACATTGGGATTAACGCAGGAAAAACATAACTTCATTCAATTTTTTTATTAATTCAGATGACTGGTGGAAATATTTGTAGTGTAGCAATTTGCAAATATAATTCAAAAAATTCCAAAAAGGATGGAAGGAATTTAACGTTTTTTACATTTCCAAAAAAATGTAAAAATTCAAAAGCAATGGATGAGCAAGTGTCAGAGGAAGGATAAGTGGTCCTGTTTTAATAAAAGAGTTTGTAATATACACTTTCGCATGGAAGATTATGAGGATGCTTTAAAAGCTAAACTATTTAAACATACAACCTAAAAAGCTGAAAAAAGATATAAGTAGGTATAGTCATTTAAATGTTCAGTAAAAATGTGTTAATTCACTGATTTTGATTTTTATCATTTACTGTTAATTATGTACAACTCAATAGGTATCTATTTAATGGAATCATGTTTTAATATTTTTTGTATTCTATTATATAATCCAGTAATGTAATCAGATGTTCCTAAAATATATTGAAGTTAAGGGGAAAACTACTAATTCTGATATATAAATCTTTAGTTGAATCTCTTTTTCAGCATGGTTTACTAGTTTGGAGTAATTTATAATAATCCACTACATGCATTATCCTCAATGCAAAATAATTTTAAGAAAGTAAATTGTATTCAACCCATTATTAATATAGCATATTAACATGTTTTAGTCACATATATACACAAGAAAAAATCTACTTCCAATTTAATATAGTAATTCTATTCTACTACATATGTTTAGCTGCAATAATATTTTATGATTTCTGTAACTCTGCAGGTACTTATCTCCCACATTTTTTAAAAATTGAATGAAATAAATAGTTATTAAAAGTCCAAATGTATTTGTTTTCGATATACATAGATTAATATATTTACAATCTTTGTTGCTTTTCGAGTTCATTTCGAGGAGTAAAGTGAATGAATTTGAATGTAGCATTCTCAGTGACGTCATTCCCGCCGTTAGATTCTCGACGCTGATTGGTGTAAAGTTACCAGACAAACCTGTCTATCTTTAATAACCTTGACGCAAGGTCTAATACTAAACTTGAACTATCCATGAACAAAGTACCTACATCATAGAATTTGTCGAGAATTTCAAACGGGGTATGACTCTTAGTGTGCAAGTAAAACGTGTGGTTTTAAATGTATTAAGCTATCATCTGAACTTAAAAAAATGGTGACAGCTTGAATATTACTGTGGAAAAAGTTTCGAAAATGTGCGGTGTGAGTGTTGTCAAAATTTATGACATCCGCGAAGATGTCCGCAAGGCGAACTTAAAACCGTTACAAAAAATGAAGAAAAACTGTTTGCAGTCCAGTTTACGTGACACAACGATCAAGCATCCAATAGATGCATTCATAAAAGTCTCTCTACTGGATTGAAAACTCTAACCTAAAGAGGTCCTCGGTTTGTTCTTCTTCATGCTGGAAGCGAAACTGGTTTTGTAGCATGGGCCGAATTAACTTTCTTGGCGAAGAAGGGAACCGTTGATTAGCACCACGAAACGGTCGGGAATCTATATGAAGAATGGTTTAAGAAGACGTTAATACCACTCTCGCAAATTTGATTTTCCGAAAAAATTGTAGAACAAAAGGCAAATCAAGGATTGGCTAATCGAAAAGAACATTTTTTCGAGGAAAATTACCTAAAATGTGAATTACTGGATACTGCGACCGCATTTAGAGACTAGTACAATCAGTACAAAATTGAAGCAATTGCGGAAAAATATGGCTTGTTTGTTTCTTTGTTTTAATTCGTTTAAATGAACTTTTTAATAACCATTCAGATCCGCGGAAAAAGAAGCTCCAATGACAGAAAAGTTATAAGGTGAACCTGTATACCTGTGAACAATTTCTCAATCATCCATGAAGAAACTGGAGGAGTTTTGATATGTGGTGCTACAAGCGTATTCTGATAGTTTCGGGTTTATGACAACGCTAACTGGAATGTTCTTTGAAGAATTGAAATTTTTCAATTCAGTTCAGTAGTTATGATCATATCGAGCTCTTGTTATCTACTCCATGGTTCTCAGCTTAGGGACAAACTCCTGTACCTAGAGATGGTGTTTTTCTCTGGAGGGGTAGAAATGCCAAACTTTTTTACATTTTTTGGGATACTAAAATTGACATTTTTAGCAAAATTTAGTTTGTTCGTAGAATTTTTAGAGGTTCAGTAGCATTTTTGTCTCTGACGGCTATACTTAATACAGATCTACAGCAAAAGTCTACGGAATGTCCAATTTGGCATGAGCTATGTGGCACGTAGCACCGTTGAAAACTATGTATTGTCGGTGTCTATATCATCGAATCCAATTCCATATCTAAATGAAATTATCATACAGCCTTCTGTGTCCAAAGTTAAACATAGACCGCCCCAAATTTCTTCCAGTTTTGACGGTCTTGAGCTTGTTGCAGCCAATTCCCGTCGATTCTTTTGATGTCACCTGTCAATCGTGTAGGTGGTGTACCTCTGGTTCTTCTGTCAGCTCGTGGTCTTAAAACTGTAATTTTTTAGGTCTACGCTCGTCATTCATTCAGGCCACATGGCTCGCACAGTTCCACTTCAGCCATGCTATCCATTATGTCACATATCCAAATGAAATGCAAGAAAGAATTTTTTCCCAAAAAGAGTATTTTACCAAAACCTTCTATGTATAATGGAACTGCTTTTTTGCTTATGTATCTTCGTTGATTATAATTGTTTTTAGGATTATCGATTCGATATGGGTACCTATTGCAAATTTTGGAGAGGCTGCGGTGCAAACATAACCGAATCGTCCGGAGAAAAGGTGTGGGGAGCACTGTGGGAATTAAAAGATGAAGATTTTGTTAATTTAGACAGGTAAGCTGAATGTATTTGATGTACCAATGTGATTTACTGCAAGTGGAGACAGACAAAAAACAACTAATAGAGAAAATAAAGATTTTGATTGGATATATTTTGATTGGTCGAATTTTACAGATGGTTGTGAAAGCTTAAGAAGTTAATATATTAATTGACAACTAAAAATCGACAAAATTCTGAAATATTTACTTTCAGAATAGAAAACTACAAAAATTGTAACCATTCTCTCTTTTTTTTGGTGTTATTATGTCACCTTCTTTGTTCCGTAGTCTCTTTCATTATACACGAAGAAGGAAATCAAAAGTTAATAATTACTAGTAAATGATCAGATAAATATCAGCATTTCATATATTATCGAAAGATATTGATGCAGCATTGGAATAAGACAAGACGCTTAACGATAATTTCAAAATGAATTATGGTTTAGAAAAATAATTTAATAGACACCCAAGATGTTATAAAAGAAAGAAAATAAAGGCAAATACTTTTCTAAGCTGACAAAATAAGCAAATTTGAAGAATTTTGAATTTGAAGACTTGAAAAAAAACTGAAGATGACTGGTTTTAAGAAAATGAAACTATTATGAAGCTTCTAACTCCTGGTTTTTGGCGTATATATTAGGTAGAGTCCAAAGATCACTGAATTTTCAAGGTTTTTCTTATTCTGTTCCATTTTTAGACAAGAAGGCGTACATTTGAATGTTTATAAATGAATAATAGATTTCTCCTAGATGAGGGAAATTCCGTTCTTTATGCTCATTCTAAGTAAGCCCTGAATCTAGTACTGATCCAAGATACTTTACTTCACTCACCAGATTTAGACTTTTACAATTCATGTTTGAAGGACCTAATCCTTCTAAATTTCTTCTGGTGAATTTCATGATAGGGCTTATGGTAAGCTCTACATTTGACGTACATTATGTAACTACAATCAGAGCCTATTATATTCTATCTTTGACTGGAACAAACAAATAATTCAAGGAAATTTCAGGAGTCTACTAAATCATCTAAAAAATGACATCAAATTGCAATTGGACAGGACACTTGGTGAGAGTATAATAAGAATATTGTACTGGAACAATAATTGAATGAAGACTTAGATTCTACAAAAGAAACCAAAGACAAATACCTACAGAATAGATAAAATTTAAAGACGTAGAGGAGAGCCTATGATCAGCAGCGAGCAGTACTGTTTTCCGATAAACTTACGAGAGTAAGTGAGGGAAATATGGACTATTAGTAATTTGATTGTTCAGATTTGTTTTGGTGTTCTTCATTACTGATTGAGAATATTTTTATTTATTTTTTCATTTTTAGGCAAGAATACGTGCATTTAAATGTTTACAAACGAATATTGGTTGAAATTGAAACCCCAGACGGCCAGAAACTTAACTGTATAGCATACCAGATGGTGAATAATTTTGAAAAAGTGGATTTGGCCAATTTACCATTTGAACGACGACCCAGTCCAGCATATATGGATGTAATAATTAAAGGATCTCAAGAGACAGGTCTGCCAATAGATTATACGAACTTTTTAAGAACTGTTTGTACGAATGGCATCGATTACGCACCAAATTTGGATCCAGAATAATATATATATTTATTAGTCTACAATTTAAAGTTATTGTATAAAATAAAAATATATTTTTGTTAATATATCAGACAAATATTATTGGTTTCCAACTATCCTCATCCAATCCCAAAATGTATAAGATTTTTGTATTTATTACTGAATTAATCAATTATTGGAGAAGATGTTGCCAACTCCCTAGAAGAGATAGAGTAAGGAATTGAAATCAGAGAGCGTATGGGCATAGACATTGACATCCTGGAAACTATAGAATGCAAAAGGCTGGAATGGTATGGCCATGTAGAAAGGATAAATGATTAACAATGACCAAACAGAATGTTACAGTGGATCCCCACCAACCGCAGGAAAAAGGGAAGACCAAGAAAATCGTGGAGACAAGAAGTAAAAGGTGCAATGGAAGATAGGGTCTACATAGGGGATATATATATATGCTTGGTTTATTTTTGATGCATTCCAGAAATGGAAAGCCCTATTAACTGTATAATAGTCGTGGCCATGGCTTGTTTCTGGCTTTCTAAACATGAACCAAAAAATGTAAAAACGATGGAGTTATTTTTTCCCATAACAGCTCATACCTATGTTCCACTAGATTGAGTATTTGGAGTCTCAGAAAAGTTTATGAGAAAAAAGGGGTGATTTACAAACCATTAACCATATTATAGCCAAACATTCGAAAGTAGTTAAGGTTGGTTAAGACTGTGACGTCTTTAACTGAAAGAAGGAAAAGGATGTATTCATGAAAAAACCGGCACAATTTCATTTTTAACTGGGGACCTGCAAAAGGATTATTCTGACAAGAAATAAATATAAAAGTGTTCTCGTTAGAGAACACTTTTATATTTATTTATAATCAAGTCAGGAAAGTCTTTAATTAAGCCAGGAAAACAGGTTTTGAACATGAATCCAAATTTGATTCCTTTGTCAAATTGGTCGAAACCACTGAAGAAAGTTGACTGCAACGGCTTGCTGAAGAAGAATTATGGGGACCAGTGGAGGAACAATGAGGATTTACTCTTCTACAAAAATGTCATCAATGGGGCTGATGACAATGCAATTTAATGATTTGTTAAAATTAAAATTGAAATAAAATAATTTATTTAATGTTTTTATTTCTAACCCACAAAAAACATAACAATATAAATCACCTCATTTTCTTGGTTCTAGTTTTTAATTTAAGGTTAAAATAGAGCAAAGTTCGAATATTTTGCATCATAACTAACATTATTCATGAGATTTTGGTGCAAATAAATCTCACATTTAACCACATTTTGCTACACAACTCACATTGTCCAAATTTTAAAATAAATTTACAAAACAATCTTCATTAAATACACCCATAAAGTCTAGGCAAACAGTTTCTATTACAACGAAGTTGTTACAAAAATAAATTGAAACATTATACCATGGCCTTCAACAGTAAACAGTTTTTCTCATTTTTCCGAAAGTTGAGAAACGTGGAGAATGTGAATTTTGCAGTTATACAATTCAAGTTGTCTTCTTGAGTTGCCTTTTCCAGATCATAGTTTTTATTCACGTTATTATCATATTTATCTTATCATTACTCTTATCTTTAATAAAGTTACGTGACAATAACTCTGCTATATGTTGACACATTCCAGGTAAATAATATATCATGTGTTAATAGTTATAGTGTCATTTTTTGAAATCGTTGTGAGAGTATCAGTGACATATCTTTATCCATTAAAGAAACTAGTGGTTTATGATCGGTAAAAGCCATACAATTTCTGCCATAAAACAGATAAGGAAACTTCTTATAAATAAGCGAATAGCAAACTTGACATTCCGTTCTTAATTTGTGACTAAGATGATTCTGCAAATGACATGCTTCTTGAAGCAAATGAAACAGATCTTTTCTTTTGAATTTAAATCAAATTAAATTAATACAGATGACTTTGATACTATTAATTTAAGTATATTTACTGATTATCTATGTTTATTTGTCCAAAACCAATCAGTATCTTTTTGAAGTAGCTCTCTTAAAGGACTGTATATTGCAGACATATTAGATTCATATTTCCTCAAATAATTAAACATTCCTAAAATTAAATTAAGCTCTTTTTTATTTTTAGACTTATTTGAGTTTACAATTGATTTAATATGTTCTTCTGAGGGTACTACACCTTTTTTACTGAATTTATGACCTAAAAACTATATATTATTATTAGCCTGCTTTTTTCTAATAATTTATCACGTAATTTTTCATCTTCAGTAACAATAAGCAAATCATCGAAAAATGTGACACTATTATTATTATTATCAATTTTACTAAAATATTTTTTAACTATACCAATGAATTCAATTGATAAAATTTATGTGCAAATGATAAAATTATTTTATCAAAATGGGTGTTCAACTGACTGAGGAGCTGAAGGTAAACTACCATAGACAACGACTTGTGTTCGCTGAATGGGCTCTATAAAATCTCATTTTCTCATGAATGGATAGGTCAAAAAACAGAATTGTTCAATTTGAGATGATACGAATTCAGTCAATGTACCAAAAGGCAAAATCGGTCCATATGTCTTTGGGAACGACGTTGGCCAGGCCCTCACTGCCAACGGTGAGCTCTATAAGTCAGTGCCACAAAGATCATAGCACATTGGACATTCTACATGAGCAATTTGAGTGATATGAATTGGCCATCCCTTCAGACTCTTTATTCTTTTTTTGTGTTACGGGAAGATCCTATCTTGTTAGTCATACTATCATGGATGTTTCCGATAGTTTTTATAATATTTAAGGAAACTTCTTTATTATACAGAAGATGGATTACATCTTTGAGTCTTATTCTGTCAAATGCTTTCGCATTCGTGTTTTAAGTAGCAAGTCTATGCGAACAAGCCGCAAACCAGAGCAGCCATCAAAGACAACATAACCCATGCCCATTAGTCAAATTCAACTCAAGGCCCAAAGTCAATTCAGATCCATGGAGAATGGGATATTTTGGATACGTACTGGCCAGCGAAGTCGCTGCGGGAATTTGAAAGATCTTAAATATCATACGTAATAGCGCCGAGAAGCTTTACAAACGGATAAAATATTTCGATATATCTCACGAACTTTGTTTTATATAAATTTAAAGAGAAAAAGACCCTGCTATAAAACGTATTAACGCATACAGAACTAAAACTGACATCTAATACCATTATAAATTTACACCATTATAAAAATATGATAAATCTGTAAGTAGTTCTATAATGTAACGTTAGAGATGGTTCTTAATTTATGTAAAATCTTTGATATTCATAGGTCAAATGTCAATTAAGAAATAATGTCAAAAGCAAAAGATTGCATGCCATTTGTTGATAAACCATTATAGTAAACACATTCCTTTCTGTATTTATAACTAATTGGTTATGTTTTCGTGTTTTTAACAAAAAAATCCTAGAAAACTATCATGAAAGGTGGAAACATTTCAATATGTTTTTATATGATTCTTACTTCCAGTATTGGTAGTATTATGGCGACAAATAAAAGCATTTACTTTGGATATGGAAGCAATTTGCTGCAAAGGCGGATGCACCGGTCTAATCCTAATGCTGTTAGATATGGAAAAGGTGTGTTGAAGGTAAGCAATAATTTAAATTTTGTTCTTTGTAAAACTGATATATGACGAATTATTTTATAAATAAATAAAGTTGCTTGTTCTGCTCTTTAATGTTCTGTGAATTGTTTTGCATATACAGGGTGATTTTAGTTCGAAATCGGTACAGAATACATTCCATTATAGTATAGATGGTCATCAGCAAGCACCAAAACAGAAGGGTGAGGGTCAATGTCGACGGAACAGATCTGGAAAGAGTAACAAGAACAACGTACCTTGGAAGTAATCTTGATGAAACTTGGGACCACTCACTAGAGATAAGAATACGCCTGGAAAAGGCACGTACAATGTTTTACAAAATGCAAAAAGTTCTATGTAACCGCCAGCTGGGCATCTCATTGAGAACTAGAATACTTAAGTGCTATGTTTTCTCCACCTTGCTCTATGGTGTCGAAAAGAGAGCTTATGCTTATAATAAAAGAACGGAAAACACAATATTTTGGTCACATCATAAGAAATCAAAAGTATAAACTGCTCCAACTTATAATCGAAGGCAAAGTCAATAGCAAAAGAGGACCAGGAAGAAGACGCAACTCTTGGCTTAAAAACCTACGGCAATGGACGAATATGACCTCCATAGAACTATTCAGGGCTGCTACAAATAAGATTAAATGGGCAAATGTAATGGCCAACGTCCTTAAGGATAAGGCACCGTAAGAAGAAGATAGTATAGAATATCCAAAAAAGTAATTTACAAAAAATATAGGTAATGTTATTATTCAGGTTTGTAAAATATGCCAAATTCTACACGGTGATAAATAACTACGGAGTAAAGCAAACATACAATTTTTTAAATAGGACACCCTGTATATTTTGGGAACCCTGTGGGAAACGGCTCTTCGAATACAGTAGAATTAATATTCTGATGATAATCTACACTACATTTTTCTATTTTTTTTTTCGCAAAGAATTAACCCATTTGGCACACAACCATTTGCAGATCCACACTGCACAATAATCATCCGAGAATCTTTATTCGGAGGTACTCCTTTCAACTGACACCTAAGTCATCAGTTTAACCCTTCTTAGCGGTATCATGCGTGTCATACAGGTCTCGTCTAAATAATATATAGGCCGCTATTGGTCTCGATATTCTTGATTTTTTTTAATAATCTAAACGTCAGTGTACTATCCTCTTACTTTCCATAATAGCCACTTGTTTATCAACGATTTTGTATTTGAACCCAAGTTTTTTCAGCCGTCTACGTAAAGTGGTTTTAGGGCAGCTTCTTCCCATCGCAACAAGCTTGGTGTATATAATAGCAATTGTTGGTATTACATTTTTGTTGTATTCCTCGTAAACCAAATTCCTTAAACATTTAGCAGTCACGAGTAATTTGTTTATGTTTTCCAGCATCCGATCTTATTTTTCTCTTTTTAACACCACTTTTCACGATGCCGTGCATGGTAGAATACGGAAGTCCTGTTAGAATGGCCGCCTTTCTTATAATACTGCATTTACAACTATTTTCAGGATCATTTTGAAAATTTTTGTAAACGTTCATACAAATTCTCTTTGATTGTTCACTTAAAACAATCCTCAGTGTCATTGTTTTTTGTATCACTTACACTTAAAAGATTGTTGACTACTACACTTTCTCTACTACTACTTGGGTTCTCTTGCTGCACGGAAAACTGTAAGTGATTTTCCCATGTTCTAAACATTTTCTTTATACACAAATAGACAGTTTCAAAAAAACAAACAACAAAAAATACTACAATTATTATAACTACTCACAACAAAATTTCAACACAACTCACAATTAAAGCAATGCACAATGCACTTCTATCTATAAACAATCTAGTTACAAAGATACAACTAATCTAAAAATTTGCAAGTGCAGTCCTTTATATAAGGCACATGCCGATATTTTCACAACCGGATTACTCATCGTAAATCAATCAATTTAAAACTTGAAAATTGATACTTAAGGATTAGTACAGTTAAAATCGTTAGACGATTATATTTAGACGTAATAATAATTCGTTATTAGATTCTTGTTTTGTATCTTGTTTTAGATGTTTGTTCTTCTAGATTGTGTCATTATGTGATCCCGCACCTTTCCTTTACTTGCTCTTAAGCTTTGTTGTCGTACTTCTTTTTCAACATCTCCGTAACTAGTTATATCTATTCCCAGATATCTAAACTACTATCTATCAAAAGATATCTCCCATCAATTTTGACTTTAAATCGAAGATGTTGCCATACAGTTGTTTTTTTCTGTTAATATTATCATATTGTATTTCTTGGCTGTTGTATTGAAGATGTGTGTTAATCTTTGGAGCTCGTCTTCTGTCTTGGCGATTAATGCGGCGTAGTCTGCATAATATAATATTTGGATTTCTTTGTTCCCCATTCTGTAACCATAACATTTACGTACTGCTGGTATTATTTCGTCCATTATTATATTAAATAGAAGTGGACTTAATGAGTCACCCTGTCTGACTCCGCTTTGTACTGGTATACCTACAATGTGTTAGTTTTCTATTTATCTTTGCCTGTATTCGATTTTGGAGGTAGATGTTTTCGATGGTTTGTATAATATTAATTGGTATGTTTCTTTTATACAGTTATCTGAATCCTTGTTGTTCATCTGAAGTTGTTAGTTTATTGATTTTGTGGGTTGGGACTTTTGTGGAAAGGAATTTAAACGAACAAAAGCTCTTACAGTTTGATTGCTTTCTGAATATATAACTTAGCGCATATATTATAATTATTGTAGGATTTCAAATTAGACATGGGCACATATTCACCCTTTTGGAAAGGTTGCGGTGCAAATATAGTCCAAGCGCCTGGAAACAAGGTGTGGGGAGCTCTATGGGAATTGAAAGATGAAGATTTTGTAAATTTGGACAGGTAAGCTGTACGAATTTGTGTACCGATGTGATTTATTGCTAGTGAAGAGAGAGAGAGAGAGAGAGAGAAATATTAATAAAGATTTTGATTGGATATAAAGCTTACATTACGTTTTTTAATGTCTATAGTAGTCGCATACTTCAAGATACTTTATAGAAGGTTGTGAAAGCTATCAGGTTTGGCAAAAGTAGCAGATTTAAGATATGAGGCCATCACAATTGCCTGAAGAAGTTGATACATTTACTTATGTAAGTAAAAATTGGCAGAATTCAGAAAGATTTACTTTCAGAATAGGAAAATGCAAAAATTGTATATTGTACATTGTCACATTTTTTGTTCGGTAGTCTATTTGATCGCACACAAAGAAACAAACAAAATTGAATGAGTAGATGAAGCTCATACAATTATCTACATCTACAAGAAGATTTATTTTACATCTAATTATTATGTAAAATTTTAAAAAGACAAGACATCTGACGATAATGCAAGATGGATTTTAGTTTGGAAAATCATTGGAGATAGAGACCCAAGATTTTATAAGTAGACGAAAGACAATAAAAGTAAATACTGACGAAATAGATCGATCACGTACAAATGCCTTTCGGAAACCCGTTCAAAGCTGTACATAATAAACAAATTAGAACGAATATTGAAAGATACTTTCACCCAACAATAAACATGACTGGCTTTGCGATGATAAAACTGTTAATAAACCTTTGACTCATGTTTTTTGGTGTCCACATTTTATAGAATCCAAAGAATCACTAATTTTTTAAGTTTTCTTTTATTCTTTTCCATTTTTAGGCAAGAAGGCGTACATAAGAATATTTATAAACGAATAATAGTAGAAATAGAAACCCAGAAGGCCAAAAAGTAAATGCCATAGCATATCAGATGGTAAAACAATTCGAAAGGTTCGATTTGACGAACTTACCAGCAGAACGACGACCGAGTCCAGCTTACATGGATGTCATAATAAAAGGAGCTCAAGAGACAGGTCTGCCAATAGATTACGTCAACTTTTTAAAAACTATTTCGACCAATGGCATCGATTATGTTCCAAACTTAGATCCAGAAAAATAGAATAATTGTATTTTAGCCTTAATTATAAAGTTATTGTATAAAATAAAGAAAATTTATACTGTTGCTACTGACCTGTCTTAATCTAACTCAAATAGCCATAAGATTCCTGTGTTTAATCCACAAGTTATTAACATGTGTCGTAATTAATAAGAAAATAACAAGCTTTAGAAAAACTTTTTGGAGCATACAACAAAAACTTGAATCATTAGGCAACTTATATACAATTCAGAAATAGTCTGTTTTACTAAATTTATAAATAATGACCCTACGCCATGTATTTTATTTCAGATAACCACATAACGAACAAAATTTTCCACAGAATAATTTCAACAAATATTTTTATGTTGTGTCAAAACATCTTCTCAGCAAATGTCTATTGTGAAATCTAATTTTTACATAAATATTGTTTTATATGGGGGTAAACCACAATTAATTGCAACGCAAATAAACATTTTATACTTGTTTAACTTTTACCAATCTGGAAATTGTTTCAAAAAATTCTGAATGATCTTAACCTGTAGGTAAATGTTTATAATTTAGAGGGAGTATTTATTCTTTTAAACAATATTTACAAATTATTCTTCATCAGAAAAAACTTCTTACATGTGGTTAATTTACCTTGTAGGGAAGTAAAAATGGAAAGGGGAGCAATAGTATTTTATCTCTTAAACAGCTACTAAACTACTTACTTTAAACTAAGCTACTAAAAATATATTTATTCTTAATATTATTTAAATAAAAACTTGATTTTTCATTTTTTTTAGTTGGGGAAAAATTACTAATTTAGATAAGGTAAACGTGAGGAATATGACGCGGTCGGGGATATGACGCGTTTTCAATATATTTCTTCAATATATACCGGAAAAAACACTACGATTCCGACTCAAAACGAAGAACAGCAATAAAGGTAAGTTAGGACAACCTCCTGCCTTTGGCCTGGACGCAGAACAAAAATTAGTGCTTCATATCAAGAGGTTGCAGGTGATTAGTATTCTGTGGTTGCAGGCTGCAGGGTACGCGCCAACAAGGGATGCACATTGCGAATGGCTTTCAACCTGGCTGAACGAATGGGCCGAGTTTCCTACGGCTATTTCAATGTAGAGAAACGCAAAGCAGGAAGGGGATGGCATTTCTCAAACGAAAGCCATCATTGGCGATTCTAAAGGTCCAAGGAGTGTGTATGGCCCGCGCTGATGGCATGGTAAAGGAAGAAGTGAATGATTTTTTTCAATTTGTTAAAAAAGACGTTAGAATCGATAAACCTCTTTAAACAAACCGGAAATATTTACAATGTAGATAAGTCAGGTGTGCGAACAAAGAGAGACAGTGACAGTTGTTGCTGTTGTAATGCAGAGGAAAGTTTTTTACCTCCCTACGTAGTGTTCAAAGGTGTCGGGAATATGACGCAAAAGTTTACTTTTTTTGTTTTTTTAAATTATAGTAATTCTGATTGTAGGATTTAGCTGGAATTTATGCTGTGAGTACCTGATAGGACTAGGTGTCATAAACACCAATCAACATGTTGTTATCGGTATTACCGTTTGAGATATGCCAAAAACCCGAATTGTGCGTCATATCCATCGAGCAAAAAGATAAAAGAGGGAATGTAAAGGTAGTGGGGACAACAATATTGTTAGACAGGAAGTGCCATCTTGAGAGGCCACTTTAAACAAGGAAAGACAGTCTCTTTCCTTGTTTAAGAAGTCAAATTTAGTTTGGTTATGTTATTGTTTGTCCCAACTGTCACATGAAATTTTATTTATATTGAAGTTTTTTACCAATTATGTCACTTTTTAGACTATTATCGTTAATATTTAATTAAAGCTTTCTTGTCTGAAAAATATTTTACAGGTATTGTTAACAAGTGTTGGAAAATTTAAATTTAGCGCCTTTGCATTTCCGGATATGTCCGCCATCAGAGGCCACTTTTTTGGTCTCCTTTTCATAACGATTAGATTCCCTCTTTTATCTTTTTGCTCGATGGTCACATCCCATACGTTTACCTTTAATCGCATCATAAAAAATTAGTATTATAGAGTTGTGCAAATTGGTTGGAAGGAAACAACAACAGAAGTTTCAACTTCAAAACATGTCAGAACATTAGATGGCCTTTGATCATCAATATTAGGGTCATTAGGGTACACGCATGTTAATTATTTATCAAACCATAGAGTACGGAATTTTACTCGTCAAGACGTCAACGAGTAAAATTCCCTACTCTAACTTATAACACAGAATAATAAACAATCAGAAGGGCCACTCTCAGATGCCGCCTTTGAAGTTTTTCAGCACGCGCGCCATGTTTTAGGAGGACATAGACATATTATTTGTGTGGTTATGTAATTGTTTATATTTATGTTTAATTATATTATATACTTCATTCGCTTAGCTCGGGCATATTTTGACAGATTCATTGTCGGAAACCTACAACACAACAATTCCTACTTCTCAGTATGAATAGCTCAAGTATACTACTATTGCAGACTTCTTTCTTTGAAAAAAAAGAAGAATTATTCTACATAGTGGAAGTGTATATTAAACCCATCAAATTTTGGGTAGTATATATTTAAAAAATATATTTTAGTTGTTATAATTTAACATAAATATTTATTATATTTGGTGGAGATAAATAAATATTGATTGTCGGTCATTCGCAAAGTTTTATTTTATTTACTATTTAGTTTGTTTACTATTAATATTGACTATGAGTACGTGTGCTTGGTTGTATAGTAATTTCCAGCCACTTTTAGTCTGTCAAAAGTAACTAACTTCGCAAAAAAATAATTACTAAATTCACTAGACAGTTCGGACTGGCAATAGCGAACCGAGTATATTTATGTTATTATATTTAACAATGTTAATATAATTGTATAGTATGTCTATGATTGCCGTAAGTCAAATAAACCTGGTTAATTTTTCCTGCACACCACATAAACAACACTAATTTCTTTAAAATCCTCCTAAAACATGGCGGAACGTCTGCGCGGAGGAGATGCGCGTACTTAATTTTCCGTGGAAAGTGGGTATTCTGTTTGTTTATTATTCTGTGCTTGTGCTTATACACTTCATCTAATTTATATAACGATGCACGTCATCGGCGTCATAGCCTGTGACGTTACATGATACCAACACAAAATATTTAGGGTGTAGGTGTGTTCCATGGACGTATAAATAAAGATTTATACGTCCATTATTATACGTCTATGGTGTGTTCTTTTTTAGAATCACTTTACCGAGTACACTGGCATTACAGCCACTAGACATATTTTATTATATACACGTAGAAATAATATTTAAAAACTTCTATTAATGTTAACTTAAAGAAATACACAATAATATGTTTCATTTAATTTATATAAATGCATTATAAAGCGTTTTTATCAAGAACAATTTGTTCGGAACACACTGTAACTGTAATCGAACAAAGCTAAAATTTTGGCATAAATTGGTAACACTTATTTGACAGTTGCGGTGTTGACACTTTTTGTACTTCATTATTTTGAATTTTAAAGTGAATATCTCTTGTTTTATATTTTTAACTAATTAATAAAATCTGTTCTTTTTAGAACAAAATTAGTGTGTTTTATTTCAAAAATGTCACGTAAGAATTTAAATAGTCGTTGTAAAGAGATGGTAATACTTTTGCAATAATTATGTAATCTATTTGATTTAAAATGGAGTCAGGATTTTTTTATACTTCAGCAACTATGTCAACTTCGATCTCTGACGTAGATAATGACGTAAGTCGTTATCTAAATTAGATGAAGTATACATACTTCCAAATGGTACCACACCCGCATGTCAATTATTTCTCATAACAAATTTATGTTCTGTGGTTACCAACGCTAAAGGGCATCTTATACGTACTACAAAAAGGGTGCCTCACACGCATGTCAATTATGTCAATCAATGCGTTTTAACCTTGCTTTAAGCTGTCAATTATGTCTCAGAACAAATTTATCTTCATGTGGTTGCTACTAACGCTAGTATAAAAGTCACTAATGTATGACATAACCACAGAATAATAAACAACTGTTATTTATTCTGTGACGTGACTATAAATCATAGAATGTCTATGCTATAATTATTAATATATCTGCTATAATTTTTAATGTCTATGCCACAGAATAATAAACAATTGTTATTTATTCTGTGTCTATGCTATAAACCCGTCCTGCGTTGTTTTTCGTTACACTGTCACACACCGTTCAAAAGCGAAAACGAACAAAGCTCATGTAGCCACTTTAAACCAGCTGATTGGTTGGGATTTGAGCATGATGTGACGTGAGACGTGACAGACTTTCTTGACGTGGTGAAGAGTTCAATGTTGGTTAGGTGGGCATAGGTGTTAATTTTCAAAAATGAATTTATTCTTGGTAATTATTTTCCGCTATAGTTGTATGTAATGCCCAAGGGCCAACTTTAGTGTTACTCGATAATCAAGTTATTAAGGAAACCCATTCAATATTCTTCAGATCATTGCAAGGTTTGTATCGAGACCGGTCTGCTGTAGAACACGAAAAATATATACAAACCCAAAAAATTCAATTGTTAAGTGAATGTTGTAGAATTATAAATGCTTGAATTACTTTCCAATAACTAATTTTCATTTTACAGAAAGAGGCTACACCCTCACCTTTAAAATTGCCGATGATTCGTCTTTACTCTTATCAAAGTATGGTGAATACTTATACAAGAATTTGATCATATTTGCCCCTTCAGTAGAGGAGTTCGGCGGCAATTTAAATGTAGAAACAATTACCCAATTTGTTGATGATGGGGGTAATGTTCTTGTAACTGGAAGTAGCACAACTGGTGATGTTTTGAGGGAACTGGCCTCTGAGTTTGGATTTGAGGTATGGTTGCATTAGTGTTTATAATATAGGATAATCATTTTTCTTTAAAATCTAACTGTTATCCAGATCTTCATTTTCTTGTTTTGCTTTCATTATAATGTCAGTGATATATATTCTCTATTTTTGTTTTGTGCTACATTTTCTAACTTTGAGTGTAGTGTATGGAATTTTTGAAACTTTATTTGGGGTTTTATATTCATATTTAAAAATGTTTTATTTTAGGCTATTAAGTAGGGCAGTTTAGTCTCTTATAGATTATTTATCTTATCTCTCTTGTTAATTGTCAAGTAGTTTTACTGTTTATTTTAATGTATGATAAATTATAGGTTGATGAAGATGGAGCATTTGTAATTGATCACCTAAACTATGATGTTACTGATGAAGGTCAGCATACCAAACTTGTTGTCTCATCTGAAAATCTTATAGATGCTCCAGTAATAGTTGGACCAAAAAGAGGAGTGGCTCCTTTATTGTACCAGGGTACAGGAATTCTAGTTGACTCTGAAAATCCCCTTGTGTTGCCTTTGTTAACAGCTGATAGCACAGCTTACAGTTTTAATCCAAACCAACAAATCAAAGAGGTAAGTGATCTAATAGATAAAAATGTTAACAATTATTCCATGATACTATGAATAACAAGATAGGATCTTCCCATAGCTCAAAATCGGTCGGGTTCGCGCATGCCGTCATTGAAGACTAGAATTTGAATTCTTGTTAAAGTTAAATGAGATTTGTATGCATTCTGTGATGAAGTTACTAGACGAAATAAGTTAAGAGGTTTAATAATTACAATAATCGTACACATAAGGATATCTCCAAACTATTTATTAAAGATTATTTATTGATATATACAAAAAACTGACATTTCGAACATGCAAGTCTCCAATGACGTCACAAAAACATGCGCAATTCTTATAGTTATAGTATCATGATTATTCACGTGAAGTTTATTAACAAATAAAAAGTTTATTGTGGCTCTGGAAAGATTGTTCTAAAACTTATTTATGACATTTTGTTTTTTCAAAGTATATTTTTGAAAGTAAATGGGTCATTAAAAGATAGATTCTTGATTTAGATATTTTGATTACAAAATAGGAAACATATTAAGAGACAGTTTTCATAACAGCTTTCGATCTGGAATTTAAAATAATCCAATGAAATTTCTAATAGTTTTATTAACAATAAGAGCATATTTTGGACAATAATAAGACTTCATACTTCTTTATTCAGTTGAAGTTTATGGACAAAAAACTCATTAAAATAATTGTAATTAATTTTTTTCAGTATCCTCATGCGGTAGGCAGAGATGCAGTTCTTATTGCTGGTTTACAGGCAAGAAACAATGCCAGAGTAGTGTTTTGCGGTTCTCTGGCTTTCTTTTCTGATGAATTTTTCACCTCTTCTCCAAGTAAAGCTCAGGTAAGTCCAATGAATTCAACAATATAATAATGGTGCATTGTTATTGTGGTTGAATGGCTTATTCTGGAATTGTTTGCTGTTGAAGTTTTGTCTGTGACTGCGATAAAAATTAATAAAGGTCATGTAGGTGAATACATTGATCATAAACTTTTATATATAAAATAGACTGATCAAGTAGACAGTTTCTAATGTCAACAAGACTTATTTATATTTTAAGTCTAAGTTCTCTTCTGGAAGCCATTACAGAACCAGTTTTCCTGGCAGTACAATGAAAACATTTTGATCCATTATTGAGAGTAAGTCAAAATATATGATTTGATTTTTTAGACACAAGAAGCATCCCCCAAATCCGGTAATGAAGATGTAGCAACTGCAGTTAGTCAGTGGGTATTTAAAGAACATGGGCAACTAAGAGTGAGGTCTGTTAAACACCACAAAGCCGGTGAAAAAGAAGCCCCTCAAGACTACACTATCATGGATAATGTCGTAAGTATTTTTTATGTCAATTTTTATACAGTTGAAACAGTTTTTTTTATTTAGACGTAATACTAATAATTATAAACTTAAAAATGGTGTATGGACTCTGTTTGTACTTCATGATGCAAAAACTATTTTTTTTTTCATGTGTTTGTGTACTAACATTTGATCTAATGAAAAATCGATTTTCTGATCACATATCTATCCAATATTTTAAGTAAAATTAGGTAAAATAAACTATCAAATGACAAATCAACAAAAGATTCTTCTTGAAAAAAGTTCTACATACAACAAGAATTATTGCAAAAGATAGATTGAAGTAAAATAAACAACACCATGAGACTTATTACTGACACCATTAGGTGTAGTCCAAGTTACTGATTACTTGTCCTAAGCAATAATTTCCCCACCAAATTTTCAAAGAAACTTGTAAGGAAATATGGCAAAAATCCACAGCAACTACCAACTTCAGTTACATGAAAACTGTTACTGGGAGACTATGCCTGTACTTCAGCCCTTGAGTTGCAAAGACTGAAGCAGATGCATCAACCCCAAGTAACAACAAAACAAAAAATTAGTATGTTAATTATAGTTATTAAAATAACTATAATACAAAATCTGAATATTGGATCTTCTTCAGTGACTTGTTCCGATGGAAGCGTCTTTTAGGTCAAATTATTTTTACATCAAAGGACATTACAAATTTACTGCAGAAGAACTGCGAGGTTATGATTGAAGGTCATATACTTTTGGGACAGAACGCATATTAATGATAATATTAACGAAGAGTGGTTACTTGAATCTTTTTTACCTACTTTACTTTTGCTAATACTTTCTAAGAAATATTAAGGTTATAAACTCTTGAATTCTTAAGTTCTTTATTTTGTAGGTTTACACCATCGAAATTGACATTCTCGAAAAAGGACAATGGAAACCGTTCACCGCTAACGACATCCAACTTGAATTCGTCCGCATCGATCCCTTCGTCCGCACCACTCTCGAAAGAAAACCTTCCGGTCAATATGAAGCTAGATTTAAGATTCCCGACGTGTACGGCGTATATCAGTTCAAAGTTGATTACGATAGGGTTGGATATACTCGGTTGTTCAGTACTACTCAGGTGTCTGTCCGTCCTCTGCAGCACACTCAGTACGAGAGGTTCATCACCAGCGCTTATCCATACTACACGGGTGCGTTTTCTATGATGGTGGGAGTTTTTATTTTCTCGTTTGTGTTCTTGCATTTAAAGGACGATGAGAAAAAGTCGAAGAGTGAGTGAAACTCTTTAATATTTTGTCTTGTAAAAGACTTAATTATTTAATAAATATTATGATACTCTTTGTTGTTTTTATTTTTAATAATTGATTACTAATTAGTACCACGTTGGACAAGTGTATTATTGTAAAAGAAGATTGAAGTGAGAAATAAAGGCATGTTTTGAATATTTGATTTTCCCACCACTAGCTTGAGAATTTTTCAACTTATCCTCATATTACAGAAGTCGGAAATAATAATCATAAATATCATCGTTTCATGTCTAGAAATAAATGCTTTTTCATCACAAACTGTATTGATAAATTCTATGGTCGCAACACAATCAGAGAGAGAAATAATGAGTTTACCTGATTTAACCATTCATAATAGCACAAGTCACCTTGAAAATGAACAAATTACTAATCCAATCGAGATATAATATTAGAATTAAGAACGATCTGTACCGATTTTCTACATTTGGCATTGAAGCATGCATGTTGAAAAAATCAGTCCACCATAAATTAGAGGTATTTGTAAGGTGGTGATAATATCAAATGTTACATATTATATATATCTTACCATGGAAATACTATGAAGTTACCATATTACAAATGAACTCTTGTGAAGAATGAACAAAGAATAGTTAATAGCGAAAAAGGAAACGAAAATATTTTTGAAACAGTTAAACACAGAATGAAAGACTACATTATTACCAAGGGCTGAAAGCCCGTAAGCTAAATAAAAAATTGAAAGTTCAAATGAAATATTTGAAATTAAAAATCATATAATTTTCTATTCTTTTTCACCCCTGTAACTTACTAAACTAAAAATAATTTTTTAAGTTTTCAGGGACTTTAGACCCTCGGTAATAATGTAATCTTTAATTCTCCGTTTAAATTTTTCAAAAATACTTATTAGTTTTCTCAGGATTCGAAAAAAACGAATGCATTTAAAATGCATTGGCCCGAAATTTTGCGCCTACACTCTTAAAGGGGATTATTTAACGAGTTTCACTCAATTTCAAGCTTGAATAAAGTTAGAATCGCCTTAATGATTTCCAGTCCCCTATAGAGGAATGAATTTTAAGGTGCGTATACATATGCGCGCCGCAAACCTCGAACCTTGTGTGCGCGCGCGGTTCGTGGCGCGTTCAATGTTCGTTGAAATTTTTTCATTTTGACGAACCTTCCGCGATCCAAAGAAAACTGACGAACATTTAGTAATTGTAGATAATCATGTCTCTGTCAAGCGATAAAACTTACGCTATTTCTGTGATGAGTGGTACTTTGTTGGTAATGGGTCAGTGTGTTTCACGTCGGTAAGAAGACAACAAGGAAATCACCTTTTTTTTACATTGGTCCGCATGTATATTTATTTCAGCTTCTATTTCCTCCAGGCATCGGCTTTAAGTGGTTTTTTAAAATGGTCCTTATGTTGAGGATCCCACAATAGGGATTTCCCACGGTAAGCATCAATAAGTTTGATAATATTTTCTTCTGACCACTCCATTACTACCAAATATTTTAAGATAATATACTATTATAATACTCAGACGCGCCAAAACTCAACACACCTTTCAGTAACCCGTCCAAATATGTAATGCGAACCACCAAAGTGTTCGTTGAAAAACCGACAGAAGGTGGATCGTAGTGCGCCGTATGTGCGCCGTTTGTGCGCCTCTTGCAAACACGTACTAACCTAACGAACATGCTACAAACGAACAGCGCGCGCGCCGAGCGGCGCGCATATGTATACGTACCTTTAGAAGAATATCCATTTAGCAACTATGATTTTAAATATAATAATCCTTGACGAATGGCAAATATGAATATAGAAATATAGAATTAAAAGAACATTTTTAAATTTTCATATTTGATCCCAGTGAAGATAGTCTCAAATGAGCTGTCAAAACTTCATAGAACGAAATATTGCGTGGCAGTGTTGCCATATTCTTATAATGTATATGTTATATGCTTCAAATACAAAGAGAGAAAGCTTTAAAAACGTACATTTTATATATTATATTTATGGATTTTGCAATTTTATAACTTATATAAAACACGAATGAATTAAAATGTGTTTCTTTGATATTAATTGCAATTAATTATTAGAATTTTTTTTTGGCAACTGCCTTTTGCAAGGTTAGAGAATAGATTTGGCAATGTTGTCAGAACCTTCAAACCACCCGTTGCCACGTTGCCAGATGTCTTTGTAACTTCACAGAATAATAAACAATCAGAAGGGCCACTCTCAGATGCCGCCTTTGAAGTTTTTCAGCACGCGCGCCATGTTTTAGGAGGACACAAACATATGATTTGTGAGGTTATGCAATTGTTTTACATTTATTATTATATTTATGGTATTATATTTAAAACTGTTAATATAATTGTATAGTATGTCTATGATTGCCGTAAGTCAAATAAACTGTTTTTTTTTCCATGCACACCACATAAACAACAGTGGTTCCTTTAAAATCCTCGTAAAACATGGCGGAACGTCTGCGCGAAGGAGATGCGCGTACTTAATTTTCCGTGGAGAGTGGGCATTCTGTTTGTTTATTATTCTGTGGTAACTTTTATTATTTATCCTGATATTTTACTATTTACTTTTAAAAACTGTTCAAAACTATTTACTTTTTCTTTTTTGGTAATTCTAAAGTGTTATTTTTTAAGTATCTTGTTGCTTTTGATCTATGGTTCATTTGTATATAATTTCAACACTGAAAAACACCAAGGTTACTAAAAGACAGGTTGCATGCTAACTACGACATTGACAGAATGAAATATGTCTCCTTTGACGTCACGCAGGGTTCAAATTTACGAACTGTTTGAGAACAGAATAGTATAAGCAATTTGGAGAAAATATTTTGTTGTTAAATATCATTAGTGTTTTTGTTTATGTTTATATCTCGAGATATAATGTTTCTATAGAAATCATTGAGTGTTTTTGAATTTTTGAATATATGTATAACGTAAACACAAAACTCTTATACAGGTGTTAAGATACATTAATTGTGTTTGCATTAAGTACCTTGTACCTACTGACTGGATTTTATTTCTATTATATTATATAGTAAAGGTAAAATTGGCATTAATGCAGGAAAATGTTTAACATAAATAAATTCAAATAAGTTTGTATTGATTCAATTGACTGGTGGAAATATTAGCACTGTAGCAATCTTCAAAAATATTTCGAAAAAGTCAAAGAGGTTGGAAGGAATTTAATGTTTTTTAGATTCTCAAAAAATGTAAAAATTCCAAAGCGATGGATCAGCAAGTGTCATAGGAAGGATAAGTGGACCTGTAATAATAAAAGAGTTTGTACATAAGTTTGTAGTATACACTTTCCCAATGAAGATTCTGAGGATGCTTAAAAGCTAAACTATTAAACATACAACCTAAAGGCTGAACAAAGATAGTGTTATTCCTTGACTTTAAGTAATTTTTTTGATTGAATTTTACAAAATAGAGTGAAAAACAAACAATTATCATAATAATAATTTCATGTATTTGGTTATAAATAAAATTGATTTACTAGAAAAACCTTCATGTAATTGAATGAATTTGAATGTGGCACTCATCAGTGATGTCGTTCCCGGCATTGGATTCTCGATGCTGATTGATATAAAGTTTACCAGACAACCTGTCTATTTACTAACCTTGTTAAACACCAATTTTTGTTCTGTCAAACTCATTTGCGGCTATCTTCACTGAAACCAAATGTGAAAAAATGTTCAATTAAAGTTACTGTTTTACCCAAATTCTGATAAAATGGACTAAACTTAAATAACAGTATCAAAATTCAGTGAAAAAATATCCAAAGTAGGTAAAAATTGAGTTGGTTCAATTGTGTTAGCTGTCGTCACTGTTGACAGAGACCAAGAAAAACTTGAAAAAGAAGAATGATCTCTTATTTAATTGCAGGTTACATTTAAATTTTGAATTTTATTTATATTAAAAATATTACATTTATTTAAAAAAATGTTAAAAACTCATTCAGTCTCTACTAGATACCGACAAATTTTGCCAATCCAGCGCATTAATTACCCTCAGGTAATAAAAATACACTTTCGCTATCGAATATTAGTACAAAAACCGATTTTGATTTTGCAGGTAAACTCCAGTTTTAGTACAGCCCAAGAGCTGTAAATGAACAGAAAATATTAGAAAAACTTAGAGGTCGATTTCCTAGTGCCTCCTCCATTCATGTTGAAGATATATCAGGGGGTTGCGGTGCTATGTTCAATGTTTCCATAGAAACATCCGATTTCAAAGGATTATCGATACCTAAGCAGCATAAGATTGTATACGATGCGTTGAAAGAAGAAATTAGTAAAATACACGGGATACATTTACAGACAAATAGTTTCAGATTAGGAAGTGTAGTGAATTCGAACAATAGTTTTGAAGTTTTTTAAGTTGTTAGTAGATTATCCGTTACATGTATGCTATTTTCGATTAAATGAATTGAAGAAGTGTATATTTGTAAATATATATTTATAAATTAAAGACTTTTATAAGCCCTAACCACAAATAACAGATCTTTTCTTTGTAGATATCTTTGACTTTTTGTAGACAGAGTTCTATCATGATTCTGATATTCTAAATATTATCTAGATAAGTAGCAGTTACAAATTAATGACTTTAATTTAGCTGTTAGGAATTTGGATTCTTCTAAACTGGTATAAAAATCCTTTTAGAATTGCAATTTTAGTATGGATGTGAATGTTTAATTTGTGAACATGTCATTATGTTTAAGTAAAGACACCTTGGCTACGGAGAACAAATTGAAAACCATGATTAGTTGTGGTAAATGTGGTAAAAATGATAGGAAAACCAATACAAGGGCAAAATGTTTGGGTTTTAATAATAGTGATACCCTAAAACACATTCCTTCCTCTACTAAAATAAGCTTTATTTTCATTAAAAAAAAAATGTGAAAAACACGTTCAATTAAATGTGGAAAAATTGTTTATTTATAATACCATAGCCTTACTTATGTTTTGAGGAATTTTTAATCAGAGTGGTAAAAAAAAACGTAATTACAAAACGAAGGTTAAATCAATAATAAATATTTTGTCATATGTAA